GGTCCTCCCCTCACCTTATTTAGAGGACTTGGGGATCCCCCTCAGGCTGGAACTTTTCTTTTACCAAACCCTTAATGGAGATGGGAGAACAGAGCAGGGACGGGGTGAGAGCTGCTCTGCTCCTTTGCAGAGAGAGAAACCCTGAGCGTGCCAATTTCATTTCCAAACATGATTGTTAGCAAATCCTCCAGGTCTGAAGGAAGCCTGATAATGTTGGGTCTGCGGAAAGAGTAAGTGTGGGCCAGGATTCTAAAGACCTGGATTCCAAATCTGGCTCCACAGCTGAATTATCTCATGACCTTGAACAACCCACTCTGTTTCCTGAAGCTCAGTTTTTCTGTCCAGTAAAATGGGCCTAATTCTACTTACTTTGGATGACCTCACAGACATAATGGAAGGAATAAATGGGATAGAAAGGGCTTTTAAAAGATTTAAATCAGTCACCGTGTTCTTTGGACTCTACCTCTGAATCTCTATCACATCTATCCCTTCAGCTTATAATACATAATATTATATATGTGCATATGTGTGTGTGTACATAATATATATTTCACATAACATGAATTCTTCCTATAGAATATAAGCTCTTTGAGGGCAAGGACTATTTAATTTTTGTTATTGTGTCCTCTGTGCTTAACACAGTTCCTGGCATACAATAGGTGCTTAATAAATGCTAGTTGGATTGAATTGAATCCAACACTGGATTGAAGTTAATAAGATTATTACTAATAAAAACAGCTGCTATTTGTATAAGTACTTTAAGGTTTGCTCTTCTGTCGACATTTCAAACAAATGGGATTAGTTTCTCTCTCCTCTCACCCTCTCCCATCATACCCCACCTTTTCTCAACTTCAAGTTTTTGCACATACTGTTCTCTGGAATGAGCAGCTCAGTGGTAAAAATGGATAGAACACTGGGCCTGGAGTCAGGAAGACCTGAGTTCAAAATGGGCCTCCAACACTTCTAGCTGTGTGAACCTAGGAAAGTGATTTAACCTATTTGCCTCAGTTTCCTCAATTGTAAAATAGGGATAATAACAGACCTGCCTCACAGGGGTGTTGTAAGGGTCAGAAGAGATAATGTTCGTAAAGGGCTTAGGTTAGTGCAGTACCTGGCACACAGTAGGTGCTATATAAATGCTTATCCCTTTGACCTAGAATGCCTCCCCCACATTTTCGACTGCTGAAATCCTACTCGATCTTTGAGGCCCAGCTGAGCTTCCACCTCCTCTAGAAAGCCCTTCCCTGGTTCCCTACACTCCCGCCTTGCTGGGAGTGATCCCTCATTCCACTTCGCTCCCCCTCTCTTACCTACTTGCCCCATTCTGCTATGTGCTTTATTTTTGCAGGATTAGCTCTTGTAGTAAGGTTACAAGGGAGGGCAGGCAATGGGACTTGACCTGAGATCTCATTGGGATAGTGAACCCCATTTCCCAAAGCAGCTCTGTACCTTCCAGTCTTGATGAGTTGACTCAAGCAGGAGTGTCTAATTTGTGACTAGCCAGTAATACTCCCAAATTAAAATGGAATGGGGACATATTTGGCAAAGTAAATTAAAATATTGTAGGACATAGATAATGTTAATATGAGGTTTTCTAAGTCAACATGACCAAAGGGATCCTTAGGTATGTGGCTTAGTAGCCCCCATTTCTATTGGAGTTTGACCCCATTGATCTGCCACGCTAAAAGGTTATTGCCTGCCCAGGATCACACAGTTCATGCACATCAAAAGCAGAATTCAGATAGGCATCTTCCAGGTTTCCTCCCTGAGGGCAGGGACCCTGCTTTATTTATCCCTAGCACCTAGGTCACTGCACTGAACACACTAGGTTCTTTATGAGTTTTGGTTGAATTGAGTAAAAGCATTTTATACAATACTGGAAAGTACGCCTCTCTTTCTTCCTTTCAGAAGTGGGGAGCTATGGATGTAGAATACTATATACACAGTCAAATTCAGATGATTTGTTGGTTATTTTTGCTGATCCGATTTTTAAAGTCTTTGCACTGGGTGGGGTGGGACATGTTCAGAAATGAATGTGATATAAAAAAGAAAGGACATTAATAAAAATATCAAATGTTTCCAAAACAAAGGTTTCATCCAAAGCAGCAGTATAAAGTGCTGGCTAAAGTCCAGACCCATGAGGGTTCCCATCAGAGACTGGTGGGATGCTGTAGGATCCCCTCTAGCAGAGCCACAGAGAGAAAGGACATCTGCCCCATGGTGGGACAATGAAAGGGGACCTCAGCCTGTGATGATCTGACCCTGGCTCATCTTCCTCAGGAATAAAAAGCTATTTTCTAAATATGATCCCATGTATTGTTTTTTTTTTAAACTCTCCTTCTTCCCCTACTGCCCTTACCCTTAAAATGATCATTTAGCTAAAAAATATGGTCATCCCAGGACCTTTCTTCTCAAGGGGTCTATAATCCTCCAGGGAATCCCAGTAGATCACTGGGACTTGAACTGGAAGGGGGCTGAGAGATCACTAGTCCAACCCCTTTATTCTACAGACAGGGAAACTGAGGCTGAGAGGTGAAGAGGCATGCTTACTAAGGACATACAGCCATTTAGTACCAGAGTGAAAATAAGAACCCAGATTTCCTATCTCTGCTACACTATGATGTCTCTAAGGTACCTCTTTCCCCAGCCACCCAGCTTTATCTTCCCATCATGGCAGAAAGCAAAGTGTGAAAAGAGAAAGAGTCCTAGCAAAACTTTAGCAGCTAGGTAGACCAGTGGCTAGAGTGTTAAACCTACAGCCATGAAGACATGAGTTCAAGTCCTGCCTCAGACACTAGCCATGGGACCCTGGGAAAGCCAATTAATAGCTGTCTGCCTCAGTTTTCTCATCTGTAAAATGGGATTACCTCACAGAATTGTTGTGGGGATCAGAGGAGGTAGCATTTGTAAGGCACTTAGAAACTACTAAAGTGCTAAATGCTAGATGATTAATTGGCAAGGATTTTATTGATGCACAGCAAGGGAGTATTTAGGAAATACCTGTTTAAAATAGACAAAATAGCTGCCTATTTGGGGACAGGGCCACCTGGAGTCAGAGGGTGGAGTAGTAGCAGCAGCAGCAGCAGTATAGTAGCCTCAAAGTCAGAGTCACTATTAAACTGGTAATAGGGATCACTACAGAAAGGAACCCAAATGATCCAGGCACCTCAGCGGGAAATCGCTCTTGGTTCACCCTACTTCACTGGCAAAGTGAAGTTGTCTTGAGTATATTCTTCTCTGTTCTCTTCACAAATCCTGAGTATTCCAAAGAATGCTATCACTCACCATACTAAGTGGCCCAGATGTAGACAGTGGAGGCTAACATGTCTCTGGATAGGGGGGAGTCCTTTTAGAGAGACTGAGAAGATCTGTACTTTTGAAACTGGTGCCTTCTGGCTCTGGCATGGGGAGGGGGGGAGGATGGAAAAGGAAAAGAATTGCCTCCCCCAGTCCTTCACCAGTGCACTCACTCTACTCCAGAAATATCACTGTAAGCAGACAAAACCATGCACTTCTCAGGGCAGTGAAGGACAGCGTTCCCTCCTTTTCCAGATGCCCTACCTCCTAATCTCTCTGCTTTTTCCTAGCTCTTTAGACCCAGTACCAACCAACCCACACCCCCCAGGTTGGAGCTGGAGGGGGAATGGCACTACGTCCATTCAGACTCTGTGATAGGACTCTAGGCTCCCTTGCCTTTCTCTCTACTCCTCCCCCCACCTCCTCCTCCTCCAACCCAAGGGAGCGCTTTTGAAGACAGGAATTTTCAGCTGCCAGGAAAGTGAAATATGAGGTCTAAAGTCAGAAGGCACCAAACTGCCCAGTCATAGGAATCTGTCTCTCTCTCCAGCTGCAAAGCAATTCACTAGACAATGGCAGCCCTTGGCCCCAGGAGTTATGACTCATCAGCATCACCATTACCATCAACATCAACACCATTCATTCATCCATGCAACCCAAATTTATAAAGCACTTACTATGTGCCCAGAGACAGTAATAGGAGGTAGAGAACCAAAGGAAAAAAAGATCCTGTCCTCACCAAGCTTACATTCTAGTGGAGGGAAAGGGGAAAAGCATGTGCATAAGTTAAATTCAGAATAATGGTTGGGGGGACAGGAGAAAATAAAGGGGACTCAGGATAGGCCTTCTGTAGGTGTTGTTGCTCCATCAAAGCCCCGAGGGAGCTAAGAGGCAGGAATAAGGAGACATTCCAGACAAATCACCATCATCCCACCGTCAAAGTAGGCAAGCCCTTCCTCCTACTTGTGGGGGCAAAGGTCAGTTCTCATCCCAGGCCCTCTTTTTTCCAATCCCTATCTCCATCTCCAGGCAGATAACCAGATATTTCTTGCTAAGGGAAGAACAACCCCATGGATTGTGGGAAGGAGGGCCCCGAACCCCTACAGACTGGTGGGGAAGTCTAAGGGGAGAGCAAGCACAGCTTACCTCCAATCCCGGGGTGGACAGACAATAAAAACCACTTCTCCCCCACCCCAAGAAAACTCTGAGCTGTGTTTGACTGGTGGGGGGAGGAGGGAGGAAGAGAGAGAGAATTAGCTACAGGAGGCAGAGCACTGAGTCCTAGGATCTAGTTAGAAGGCATCTCAGAGGTCATCGAGTTCAAGCCTCACATTTTGCAGAGAAGGAAACTGAGGCTCAGGGAAATCGAAGGAGATAACATTTTTGATAAACTTTAAAGCGCTATATAAATGCTAGCTGTTACTAGGTAATTCGCCTAAGGACACAAACAAGCGTGGGATGCGAACTAGGTCGACAGACTCCTGATCATCATGACGCTTTCTACAGTGCCATGCTTCCTCGGGGACTAGCCTTCTCCCCACCCCAACCCCCAAACTCAGGCCCCGAAGCGAGCTCGCAGGGGAGGCAGAGGAGCAAGGTCCTCCGCCCCGCCGCCCCCAGCCCCGAGCCTCCCGCGGGGACGGGTCTACAGAGCAGGAGGTGAGCTGAGCGTGTGCGCGAGGATGTGAGCGTGCACGCCGTACCTGCTTCCTGAGCGCCTCGAAGGCGGCACTGATGGTATGCACCCGGGTCCTCTCGCGGGCGTTCGCCAGCAGCCTCCTGGTCTGCTGGATGGCTTTGATCTCCGAGGAGACGCCCGCCCCTTCGCCCAGCCGTTTCCTAGGCGAAGCGGCTGAAGAATCCGGACTGTTATTGTAAATTACGTGTGAAATTGACGAGAAGGAACTTCCCGCCGGACGCGGCGGCTGCTGCTGGGGCTGCGTGGGCTGCGGCTGGGGCGCGGGAGGTGGCGGGGGCTGCGGCGCGGGCTGGCGAGGGGGCGGCGGGCACAGCACGATCCGGGAACGCACACTCTGGTCCCCGAAAGTCTGCGGAGCCTCTCGCCCGTCCCGGCTCCCGGGAGGAGCCGCCAGGCCCGGGGGCAGCGGCGGGGGCGACTGGGGCAGACCTCGGCCAGGCCCCGGGGGGAAGCAGCGTTTCCGCATGTCCAAGACCTCGCTGCCCCGGGGGCCGCCGCCGCAGCTTCGGCTACTGCGGTCCCCCGGTAGCAGCAGCAGCTCCGGGCTCTCCTCTGGAGGAGCAGCCGCCACAGTCGCTCCCTTGGCCGAGATCAGCCGCTCGGTGCGCTCCCCTAGTCCATTGGCCGCGGGCTCCGGCACTTTCAAGTCCGCCCTGAAACTTTTGTAGCCGTTCACGCGCCTCGGCCCCTCCTGGGTCTTCCTCTTGAGCTTTTTGGGGCAGCTCACCTCCTTGATGCATAGGCTTGGCCACGGCCCCCCCTCGAGGGTCGGGAGGCTTTTCATGTTATTCTTCTGCCAGGGACAAGGTGAGGGCCGGGGGAGGGGAGACAGAGACCCTGTGCGGGGATAGGGGGACGTCTCTCCCTCACTGTCCCCCCAAATCTCTCCTCTCCCACCTTCTCTCTCTGTCTCTCTGTCTCTGTCTCTGTCTCTCTCTGTCTCTCTCTCTCTCTCTCTTCCCCCTCTTCTCTTCTCTTCCTCTTTCCCGCTCTCTTTTCCCCTGACCTGACTTTTCCCCTCCCTTCTTCTCTTTTTCCTCCCTGTCCCTTCTTTCTGTTGTCTCTGTTTCTCTGTATTTCTCTCTCTCTCTCTCTCTCTCTCTCTCTCTCTCTCTCTCTCTCTCTCTCTCTCTCTCTCTCTCTCTCTCTCTCTCTCTCTCTCTCTCTCTCTCTCTCTCTCTCTCTCTCTCTCCTTCTCTCTCTCTGCTCCCTCCCTCCCTTTCTCTCTCTAGCAGCTGCGCCGCCGGGGCTCCTCAGGAGCGATGTGAGGCTGTCTCTTCCCGGAGCGCTCACGGTGTCATCTGAAGTCGCTGCCGCATTGCCAGCATTTTTGGAGAATGCACGCTGAGATCCATCTGTGTTTGCTTAGCCTCAGTTTACACAGAAGCCCTGTTAGTAAGATCAGTCAGCAGGCCGCCTGTTAGGGGAGACTGCTCCCACAGCCAGGAGACTTTCCAGCCTCCAGCCGCCCAGATGAGCTCCTTTAAAGAAACAGGAAGCATTTTTCAAAACAGCTGTGCTGCCAATCTCCTTTGTCCACTCTCTCTCTCTCTCCTCTCTCTCTCTCTCTCTCTCTCTCTCTCTCTCTCTCTCTCTCCTCTCTCTCTCTCTCTCTCTCTCCTCTCTCTCTCTCTCTCTCTCTCCTCACATACTCCTACATACATGGCCCCCCCAAAAAAAACCATTTGATTTTTATTTGCCTTTTAAGGCTTAGAGTTTTCCATGTCCTTCTAGAACACTCATCACCTGCACATGGTTTATTGACATTTCCTCCCTTCTGTGTCTCAAGGCTACGATTTTAGAGGGAGTGGTAGGAGGGAGGGGCAACACTGCCTTGTTTTGGCTGTCAGAGACATAGCATTGCCTTTTCTGGACCAGTGAGTGAGGCAAAGACAGAAAGCTGCAGAAATCCGATGGAGAAAACAGGCCTCAGTTAGACCTGGAAGTAATCCTCGAGATCTTCTCGTTCATCTTCCTGGACTGGAGATGTGAGGTGACTTGTTCACAGTCACATGGGTCCTAGCAGTAGGTGGCAAAGCTAGAATTCAGAGCCAGGCCATCTGAGTCCAGTGCGCTTTCCCAAATGCGGGGTTACTTCATCGGAAACATGGAATTGTGGGAAAAGTGTTGGGTTTGTATCAGGGGAATCTGGCTTCAACCCCCCCCCATATGACCTTGAACAAGTCACTTAATGCCACCCCTCTGAGCCTTGGACTAATCCTCAGACAAGTGGAGATTAAGTGATGTGTTCAGTGTCTGATAGTCTAAAATATAGATGGACTAGTGATCTTTAAGATCCCTTTCAGCTCCAAATATGTGATCCCACAACTTCTCGTTCAGTCATGTCCCACTCTTCATGACCCCATTTGGCATTTGCTTGGCAAAGACATTGGAGTGGTTTGCTGTTTCCTTCTCCAGCTCATTTTACAGATGGAGAAACTGAGGCGAACAGGGTTAAATGACTTGCTCAGCGTCACACAGCTAGGAACTATCTGAGGCCAGATTTGAATTCAGGAAGACTAGTCTTCCTGACTCCATGCCCCGGGTTCTGTGCACTATGGCCCCACCTAGCTGCCCCAGTCCCTCAACCAGTGGTCTCTTAAGGCCCTTTCTGCTCTAGACTTCTGATCCAGTGACTACTTGGTTTCTAAAATCCCTTCTAGGATTAGGTCTGTGGGCTGATGACTCCCCAAAGGGACTTAAGGTAAGCCCAGCAATTTCCAGCTTCCAGTTCTGAGCTCCACTCAACTACAATACCCAACAGTTCAGCAGTATTCTAATAGTATTCAGGTAGAATGCAAAAGTAAGGATCTGGAATACCTAGGTCCTTAATGCTCGATCTCTGGGCCTCATTGATGAGAGATGATAATAACAATGTTAGAGATGGAAGGGATTTGGGAGATTATCCAGCCCAACCCCCTACCAGGCAGGAAAGCCTGATAGGAGGTGGTCTCAGAAAAAGAAAGGGGAAGTGGGCTCCGCAAGTCACCAGGCATTTATTAAGCACCTACTATGTTCCAGGCACTGTGCTAAGCCCTAGGGATACAAAAAAAGGCAAAAAGTTCTAGCTTTGATGGAGCTCACAGTCTATTAGGAAAGAACGTCCAAACAGCTCTGTACAAACAAGCTACATACAGGATAGCTGGGGGGCAGGGTGGGACAGCACAGCCTTCCCTCTGGACCACTTCCTGGAAGGAGAATTAAAAAAGGATCTTCTCCCGTCCTCCAAGAGCACATTTCCTCCTGAGTAGCCTTTCAGTTCAAATTCCCACCAAGACATTTGTGCACAGCTAGGTTCCTCCTGTCACGCCAAGAAGCCTCTCCCTCTTCACCCTACCAGAAGTGACACAGGACTCCTGCCCTTGTTCCTCAGTCCTTTTTATTGTACTCTAAATACTGGTTTTACCTCCTGGAAAGGTCTCAGCATCACAGATCTAAAGGAGGCCATTTTGTCCAAGCCCTTTGATTAATGGTTAAGGAAACTGGCACAGAGAGGTTAGGTGAGGTGTACAAGGGCAGTCAGACAAGGTCAGAGCCCGACCATTTTACAGAAGAAGGAACTGAGGCATGGAGAGGTCATTCATTCAACAAACACTTATTAAGTGCCAGATGTATGTAGATTACTTCGCTAGACTGTCTGAGACTAGCCTAGCCTTGGCTTTGCTGAGGAAGTCGAGATAAAACAAACGTTATGTAAGTCAAAGTCCCTGCCCTTTTAGAGTTTACAATCTCAGAAATAAGATACAAACGGATTACAATGAGATATAATATTACAAGAGGGGGGCAACACATAGGACCATGGGAGATCTGAGCAGTCAGTCATTTATTAAGCTCCTACTGTGTGCCAGGCACTGTGCTAAGCACTAGGGATACAAAGAATGGCCAAAAAAAAAAGTCTCTGTTCTCAAGGAGAACGTATGGGAGGTCCAAAGGTCTAGGATAAATTTCTAGAAAGAAGTGATACAGCTCCACACTCCACTTGTGCCTCCTGGGGGGAAGGGGGAGGGGTAGAAGCTCAGCCCCCTACTCCCCAATGTTGCAGTGTCTCTGCTGCTGTTCATGAAATGTGGTGCTGGGGAGAAAAAAACCTGAAGATCATCTACAACCTTTGTAAACAAAAGAGGAAAGTGAGGCTTACCAGAAGTGACAGTTAAGTAGCAGAGTCAGCATTCAAACCCAGAACCCTTATCTCCAAGATCAGGACACTTCCCATTACCCAGTGCTATTGCTGTCCGTGACTTCACCTCCCAAGCTTTCAGTAGCTCACTCCTCAGAGCTCCCCCAAGAAGGGTTCCTTTCCACTCTGAGTGCTCAGTGCTTCCTCCAGCTGGAGAAATCACCAGGGCTGGATTTCCCTCTAAGGCAGGCATTCGTTTGTCACCTGGGGTCCGTGAAATTGTTTTTATTTTAAATCGTTCAACAACTGTATTTCAATATAATTGGTTTTCTTTATAATCCTATGCATCTAGAAACATGGTTTTGAAAAGGATAGGCTTCTCCAGCCTGCCAAAGGGGTTCATGACTCACACAAGGGAAGGTTATGAGCCCCTGATCGAAATCCTTTTGCTCTGAGAAATATTCTCGCCACATGTAGTGGCCAATGCCTGTGGGGGCTCCATGCTGGCTAGGAGGCTGAGGCTGGTGAGGCTTGAGCTCAGGGTTCTGAGCAGCAGTGGGGCTCAAGCTCAGCAGTGCCCAAACTAAATCTGGCACCAATATTTGCCAGGGGTCACCAAAGGAAGGTTGAATGGATCCAGATCAGAAACTAAGAAAGTCACTGCCTCTGTGCAGCCTGGATGAGAGGGAAACCCAATCTTCTTCAAAAATGCTGAGTGAAGTGACCAGCTCACCATGATCTGTGATCACTGGGGCAGCAGGGAGCACAGATAACCGGCAGGCTGCACTTGGGCTGTTAGTTACAACCTCCTCAGCCTGCCAAGCTGGAATGAGATGTGTTAACAGATGGAATCATTTAAGAGTTCTCTTCTCAGCCTGGTGTCGTAGAATGAGCGCCAGGCTCCGAGACACAAGATGTGGGTTTCACCAGCTGTGTGACCCTGGGGCTGGTCCCCTACCTCCGCTCTCAGAGCTTCCTTCCCCTCAACTATAAAATGAGAAGGTGGGATTAGGTGACCTCTACCATCCCTCCTGGCTGGAGGTTTATGATCTGACTTTCCCACCCTGAACCATAGTGAGGTTTTCTTTTTACCTGTAAATTAGAAATGCCGCTATTTGAACTCTTTTCTTCACAGAATAGTTATATGGCCTCTATTTACCCGCAAACTTGTCTCCCCCAGCAGAAAATAAATTCTTTGAGGCCAGAGCACAGTCTGATACATAGCAGACCTTTCATAAATGTTTGTTGATTGGATTATTGGTACTCCGCATAACACCATTTCTCTCTCATTTAAGCACTACATAAATGTGAATTGTGATCGCCCCCACCCCCACCATCATCTTTGTAACTATTATTGGCTCTGGTGGCCCTCTACTGGAGGCAATGCCGCTCAGCAAGGAACTAAATCCACTCTAAGCAACAGGCTTGGATAATATACAGACTGGAGAGTGGACATTTGGGTCACCGGATTTCCAGCAGCCTTTCAACCTCCTCATTTTACATATGAGGATTAGGAAGCTCAGAGATGGCAAGTGACTTGTCCAAGGTCACTAAAGCAGCAAAGCCTTGAGTTGAATCCAGGTCTTCTTACTCTAATCCAGAGCTCTTTCCACTATACTAAGAAATGGCTTGATGTAAGTCTTACCACACCAGCAACTCAACGTTTTAGCCTGCAATGATTGGGAAGGAAAAGTTCTTACCATGGGAACATATGAGGCAGATGAAGTCCAAAGACACAGAAGTTATGTCTAAAACTGGCTTATTCAGAGATGTCTGCCTAGGGCCTCCTGCCTCTACCTTCTTTCCCAATGGGAAAAAGAGGAAAGTAGGAAAGGAAAGACC